GCACTTTCACTTCCTTCCCAAAAGGGCTTTTTTGTTGCTTTAACAGATCCTTGCAGACTTATTAAAACACGATGTTCGAATAACATGCACTGTGCTGGAGCCCCCCCCCCCTCCCCCCAGGCAGTGTAAGGCGGGGGTCCACCCTGGACAGGATGCCAGGCCTTCACATTGAGGAGAACATTCCAGCTCCAAGTACAGAGAGCAGTCAGAATTCAAACCCACCAGCCACGAAGTTGTAACGCAACAGTGTGAACCTCTGAGCAGCCATAACTCTAAACCTTATGGAGATCATGTTCAGTTAGGTTAGAACAGTGTGGAGGCTCTGAGTCAGGTTTAAGAACCTGAATAGTACATTCTTAATAGAACCTGAGTGTTCCAGAAAGTGTAACGTTTTCATCTCATTGAGGTTAAGAACAGAGACATGGAAAATATTATAAGCGGCAATCATATACATATCATTTTCTGAATATATCTTTCTGCTGTTCTGCTTGTTCTCCATCAGACACGCTGGTCCCACCCATCAAGCAGAAGGCTAGATTCAAGATCAAGGATGCAAAGTGTCACCTCCGCCCTCGCAACAAGGAGAAGTTCAAGGAGAGCTCTAGGCAGATGCTGCAAGGTAGATCCATTCTCACACTAGGTCAGCGGTTTTCAGAGTTTTTGGGTCAGGCAGCTACTTCCAGCGTCCAAAGTCCACTCAGCCTTGTATCTTCATCTTTTACATCCACGAGGGTATTTTAAGGGGAACAGCAGGGAAACTCATGGTGACTATAACCTGTTTTCCCAATTTTTGATATAAAAACCGCCCTGTTGGTCACAGCTCTATTCAGCTAGTAAGTATATTTTAGTATTTTTTTTTTGGTTTAGTTTGTAGATGGTGAAATACATTATTGGCTTTTAGGCAGCTATTAGTAAGGATCAAACTCTCTGGATGTGGAAATTAAGCATTGCCTGTAGAAGTAAATTCATCATAGCTTACATCATGCTTGGATCTATTAGATGTCTCATCTTCATGCTGCTTAGATGTGGGTGGTTCAGGTGCAGAGAGTAAAAGTCCAGACCAAGGTTTTGTTTCAGCCAACCAGTTGAGTACTCTGTGACTATGACTCTTTAAACTCAACCGGTTGGTTGAAACAAAATCTTGGTCTGGACTTTTACTCCCAGGACCTGAACTACCCACCTCTGATGCTGCCTCCTGATCATTCGGGGTGAATGGTCCCCACTACTCCCAGTACAGCCTGTGGTGTCGCGTTAACTAACCTTCTGTATGGATTCTGCAGGGTCGCTCCAGTCTTCCTAAAGGCCACGTGCCGCTTCCAGCAGCAGGAATTACGCAGGACGGTCTGGTTCAGTGACATTAAAAAACCCATTTCTTCCTGTCCTCACCGCCCTCCCCCCTTTAAGGGGGCCAGTTCCCCTGCACTGACGACTGCCAGGTGACCTTCGTCAACCTCAAGTGCGACTCGTCTAAGAAGCGCCGGCGGGGCCGTAAATCCCCCTCCAAGGAGGTGTCCCACATCACTGCGGAGTTTGAGATGGAGATGAAGGAGGAGGAGGCCTCAGGTCAGTGCTCAAAGAGCAGCGGGCCGTCAGGGCGTCCGTAATAAAGAGCACAAGGAGCTCGAAGGTCTTAGCAAGGTAGCTAACGTACTGGTCCCTCAGGGGGGCGCTGCTCTAGAATGTCACAGGCACATGCTGCATGTGACGTCTAACCATGTGCCCTTCACGATGGATGTAGCATTAAGTATCTATGGTTCCTGCAGTGTGTAACATGCAATAATACCAGTGTTTCACTGCTATAATACAGATACAGCTCTGGTAAAAATGAACAGACCACAGCAAAATTTTCAGTTTCACTCATTTCTCGATTTATGGGTATGCATCCATGAATAAAACACTTTTTTTGCAAACTGCAGTCTGGTTCTTATGTTTCTCATTATTGAAGGGCTTCTTCCTTGCTTTATGGGACTTCAGTCCTGCTTCTAGGAGCCTGATACAAACTATCCTAGCAGTGCACTTCACACCTGCACTTAATGTTTCCCATTCCTTTTGAAGGTCACTTGAATCCTTGATTCATGATAAACTGCCGGATAAGTTACGGTCATCTCTGGCAGTAGAAAGTCGCTTCTGCCCTATACCTGGCTAGTTTCTGGTCGTTCCCACTGTCTCCTGCTTCATCTTGTTCTTGTGTCCTGCTGTCTTTGAAATTTTGAGCTGGACACAGTCTGTCGTGTAGCCTTCTGCCAGCAGGACCAGGATTAAATCCAGATTTAAAAATTCAGGTTTTTAAAACAATACGGAGTAGCCTCAATTTTTTCCAGAGCTGTATGTACTTTACATGTGATCTAACAACGCAGATGTGCAGCATTCAGTGTTCTCTGTGCATGAGGTTTAACAAATACCTATTGTGGAGATATAATGTTGTACAGCAACTTTTACACTGAAATAATCCTGAGAGAAGGTTCTCCCACAGTAACCGCAATGGTTGTGCAATGACGAGTCTCTGCTTCTGCGTGGGGGTCAGAATCGTGTAACATGGACTGCGTGAGGGAGAAGATGAAGCAGAAGCTGCAGATGGCCATGAGGACCCTCAGGAAGTCCATCAACAAGCAGCAGTTCTACATCCAGTTCTCGGGCACGGAGTACGAGGTGGCCCAGAAGCCGGCCAAGCTCCTGGAGAAGCAGGAGACCTGCAGCACCGGCCACGTCCTACGGGACGGCAAGTGTGGTGAGTCGGGCGGCACGGAACGCTGCCATCGGGTGTAACGGGCTCATGTGGGGGTAACTGTCTGGTCTAACGGTGCCTGTCTGGCATTTCTGCTGCTCTGTCTCCCAGCCAGTTGCAGTGTGGGGACTTTCTACAGTGGAGAGCAGGAAGACTGTGTGCAGTGCCCACCGGGCACGTACCAGGACATGGAGGGACAGCTGTCCTGTGAGCCCTGCCCCAGCACGGAGGTCCAGGGCATCGCCGGCGCCAAGAACGTGTCCGAGTGTGGAGGTGGGTGCAGTTTTATCCCTGGGCGCCCCCCCCGCAGGGACCTGCAGCCTCGTGGTGAGATGCCAGGAAAGGGTGCCAAGACTTTAATGCAAAAACACTGGGGCTAATTAGATGCTCCACATAATATTGCTGTGGAATATATTTGGAAATTACATTCACACAGAATCGTGGTAATTCTACAGCACACATCTCACAGAATCCATTTTAGGCCTTTGATGTGAATTTAAAAACTAGTAAATCATTACTTCTCACTGTGAAATCGGAAAAACAATGACATAAAACAAAACCGGAGATGAAAGCAATAGAAGCTGGCAGTAAAACCGTTGAAATAATTTTAATTTTATTATTTTCCCATAAATGTTTCGAGAAAGTAACCCGCGCTTCCTGGTAAAGCGTTTGTCGCGGTCTATTATGAGTCCTGCACGCCATCTAGTGGCACTGAGGAGTAATGTAGATGCTAAACGTAAAAACTGACCGAACGGCTGATTTGATGTTTGCGTTGTAGTTTCTGAATTTGTCTACTGTGTTTGTAATTCCTCATTAAAAACGTTTGAAATTAGCAGATAATAATTTTACATATTGTTATATATTTGGATATGACTTTGTAATCCACCAGTAGTGTTTCTCCTGTTTTTAAAGGTGCTGGTTCCATCACTCTTTATTCTATACCATTATTCAAAAAACGAATGAATATGTATTTGTGTATATATGTATATGATATTTTATTAATTGTGTAACAAAATTGCACATTTACCTGCTATGTGTGAGTGTATCATTTGTTACTGTATGTCTTCTGAATAAAAAGGCAGGTGACAGTCTGTGGCAGCCTATCCAGGTCCTCTGGAAGGTCACGCTGTGTCATGTCTCTCCCAGGCCAGTGTCCCCCAGGTCACTTCTCCTCGGACGGCTTCCGACCCTGTCAGTTCTGCCCCCTCGGGACATTCCAGCCCGAGCCCGGCCGGGTTCTCTGCTTTCCCTGTGGTGGGGGCCTCATGACCAAATATGAGGGCGCAGTGTCCTTCAGGGACTGCGAGGCCAAAGGTAATGGGACGCAAATGGGTAACATGACTGTGGATTTTAAGAGCAGTAATTGAGATGCTTAATACTGTAGCACCATGGGCGTAAATTATGGGGGGGATGGGGGGATTGTAGCCCCCCCAATTAATCAAAACCAGCTAATACAACCGCCCCAATTATCATGTTTCCCCCGTAATGGGTGGAGACCTCAACCCCTCCAATGTTCCAGCCAAAGTTACGGCCATGTATAGCACCCAGCTTTACCCTGGGGTGGGGGGGCATTACCCCTGCATGTAAGCTTTGGCGTTTCTGTTTAAAAATAGACGCTGGCTTTGCATCACATGCTATATTAAATCCAGAAATCTGTTACAGTGCACTGTGCTCCTGGACACCATTACAACTCCACTACACACCGCTGCATCCGCTGTCCTGCTGGAACGTACCAGAACGAGTTCGGCCAGAACTACTGCATCACCTGCCCCGGGAACACGACCACGGACTTCGATGGTGCCACCAACGTCTCGCACTGCAAGAGTAAGAGTCTGTCGTCTTTAATAAAGCAGATAAAAGATGGAAGTCCTCAGTTTTGAACATTAACACATCATCATACACATGATAGTATGCTAAACTCCGTCTTGCTGTAAATGTGTGGGAGGCTTCCTGACTGGCTTCAGTGACTGGATGAGCAGAGCAGACGTTTGGCACGTGTTCGTCCGTCTCCAGATCAGCTGTGCGGTGGGGAGCTGGGGGACTACACGGGCTACATTGAGTCGCCTAACTACCCCGGCGACTACCCCTCCAACGTGGACTGCGTCTGGAATATCAACCCTCCACCCAAGAGGCGAATCCTCATCGTTGTGCCAGAGATCTTTCTGCCCATCGAGGACGAGTGTGGCGACGTACTGGTCATGAGGAAGAGTGGTAGGCAACCAGGCAAACGCATTCATGCAACCAGGCAAAGGCACTCATGCAACCAGGAAACCCGCTAATGCAATCAGGAAAACTCACCCATGCACTCAGGCAAAACTCCCCAATGCAATCAGGAAAACTCACTTATGCAACCTGGCAAATGCACTCATGCAGCCATGAAAACTCACTCATGTAACCAGGCACCATTAATGCAACCAGGAAAACTCACCTATGCAGCCAGGCAAACCCACTAATGCAACCAGGCAAACTCACTCATGCAACCTACCAACCCACTCAGTCCATTGTTCTGTGCATCTGTCCTGCCTCAGTTTAACTTCTGCTCCCTAGAGCGAACTTCACCAAAATTGGCTAAATATCATTGCATTGAGCCCTTTATTACAAACATATAATGAAAACCATCTCCAAAGTCACAGCAGTTAGAAAAAAACTCCAGAAAAGACAATTGTGGCGAGCAGAGCAGTAAAAACATTGCTTACCACTTCTGGGAGAGAGGAAAATCATTAGTAATGGAAAAAATATGAACACTGAATACCCAGGAGTCGGCACCTGTCTCTGTCCTGCGGGTCGCCTCAAGATTCCAGACATACCGCTTCAGCCGTGACATACAGCTGTTGTCAGTCCGAGGTTCTTTCCTAATCTGTTTTGCACCCTCATTCACACCCGCTTTGCACACCATTCTGCAGCCCTTCCCACCTCCATCACGACCTACGAGACCTGCCAGACGTACGAGAGGCCCATCGCCTTTACCTCCAGGTCACGCAAGCTGTGGATCCAGTTTAAGTCCAATGAGGGGAATAGTGGCAAGGGCTTTCAGGTGCCCTACGTCACATACGATGGTGAGCGGCTCATTTACTCAATGTTTATACAACATAGCCATCCCGCATGTATGTTTCTCACCACAAGGTGGCAGTAGGTAGCACCGTTATTAGGAAACTGGCCAGAAGCTTTAGCTTGTGCATGGAGTCAGCTCTTCAATTCTCATGAGCGAGGAGCTTAATATGACTTGTTTAATGATATATTCAGCTGTGAAAAGTGAGCAGAAAAAAGTAAGATGATCATATCAGGAGCCCGTAAGATATTTGCAAAAAAAAAAAAAAAGATATTTGCACAGAAACCAAGGGGAATCTTTTTTGCAAGCTGCGATTGTGAACTTGTACTGACTTGTACTTGCAATTTATGCCGCACTTTCAACGGATTTACATTTAGCTCTTAAAATAATTTCTGTCAATGCTTTTTCTGTTGAGTTCCCTTTTTATATTTGCACATTTTTTGAATAACTGCTACCTTGTGACAGAGGATTACCAGCAGCTGATAGAAGATATTGTTCGAGATGGACGACTGTATGCGTCAGAGAATCATCAAGATATACTAAAAGTATGTTTCCATCTGTCTGCTCGCCATTGTAAAGCAAATGCGCAAATTTTATTTCCGGTAAAAGCCTGCATCAGGAAGTCCGACAGCCATATTTGTTTATATTATTAGCAGTTTAGAATGGGCTGAGTCACACCATCATTCAGGAGAGAGACATGAAGATCAATGTAATACTGGAATAGTTGTTTATGGGCTCAGTTTATCCCGGCCACTCGACCAGTCGCTCAACTCTGTGACGAGATGCGATTCATCACCTGCTTGTCTTCTGCCATCAGGACAAGAAGCTGATTAAAGCCCTGTTTGATGTACTGGCCCATCCTCAGAACTACTTCAAGTACACAGCCCAGGAGTCCAAAGAGATGTTTCCCAGGTCCTTCATAAAGCTGCTCCGCTCCAAAGTCTCCAGGTTTCTACGGCCGTACAAATAGTGTGGCATCTTCTTCTCTGCCCATCCTGCCTAAATCCCAAACCCGGCATTTTTACCCAGAATCCTCACAGAAAGTAACGAGAATGCTGCCATGACCCCATCTGCCTGCATTCCGCTCGCAGTCCTCGTTTTGACTTTAAACATATTCCGTGTATTCCGTTTTTGCCAAGGAATATTTATATGTACTAGAACTTGCAGAAGCCTGCGTCATGGATGTTTGATATGTATATGTGTGTACATATATGTATGTGTTTGAATGTGCACACATGCTGTATGAATGTGTACATTTATACACGTATATATAGATATATTTTTCTTTGTTTTTTTTTTTTATGAGATCCCTGATGTGCGCAAGATTGAGGTTATAAAATTATTAGTGCACTTAGTCTTTTTTTTTAGTTTTTTTTTTTTATTTTACGAAATGTAAAAATGACGTCATAACTCCAGAACCATTCCATTGCTGATCTTTCTCACTGAAAGAACAGTGATTACACGGCTGCGTAAAAACAAGTCTATATATTAGATTAAAAGGGGAAAAAAAAGGTTAACAAGATTAAAAACTACCTGCGAGTAACAGATGTTACAATAGAAATAAATGTATGTGATGTTACTAATATTTGGAACTTTAATTGCACTTGAATTTTATATTGTAAACTGTAGAAAAAGAAATCTAAGTTGCATTTCCTTATGTTTGTGTTGTATAGAAATTTATTGCCTTGGTTGTAGAAAAGAAAGAAAGCAAGATTTGTTCTGGCCATTCTGGGTCTCCGTGACACCTGCCGTCACCTGGCGTGACCTGGTTTCACGGAAAGGAGCGGCATCTCCAGACCGCTGGAAGAGTATGTCCCCGAGACATAAAACACGATGGCCCCCCAGCCCCATAAAATATCCTGAATTCTTGGGATTCCCTCCGATCTGATCTCTAGGGTGCCATGAAGGAGGAACTTTCCACCGTGTTCTGATGAGTACTAATTGAATTGTCTCTGCTGCTCGTTTGAGAGATGGAGTCCTGGTGAATGTTTGGCCAGAACGCCCTCCCCCTGCCTGTTTCAGCCCAGATGTAGGATAGCAGTGTTCCTGTTATGTGTCATGGCTTCTGTCTCGTGTTTCAGTGTTCTCTGCTTAGTGGTTCATATTTATAAAACCGTGACACTGTCCTTACGATATACCTATTTTTGTAATCTAAAATCTGACACTTACCAAAGTAACTAAAATATATACTGGGGAGGGCTGATCCTGGACAGATGCCACCAAGTATTGATCCCAGGTCATGAACCCTATCTTAATCACAACCATTTTCTGAATGGATCTGAAACAGGGTCAGTGCTTTGGGGCACGTTTTAGTTCCGCTGTGTGATGTTGGATGGGTTGGGCCGGCCAATCACATTCAGCTTGTTTAAATGGGTGGAGCTACTTGGTGTAAAGGAAAGGAGGGGATTGGTCTGTTGGTGTTGACTTGTTTTTCATAAACAGAGAATTTCAGCATCGTAAAATTCTTTGAAGTGGACACTGCCAAAAGATTAAATATGTTGAAATTTGCTGAGCTTGATGTGAGGTTTGGCAGTACGAGGTGGGTTCTTTCTGGGAATCTATAGCATGGGCATACATTCTGCAATGGTTTATGAATTATGCCATGTGTGTTTGTGCATGAATAATATGGAGAGAGAGAGAGAGAGAGAGTACACGTTTGTATGAGTGAAAGGGAAGGAGAGAGAGGTTCTTTACGTCCTTGGTTTGAACCCCGTCTGTTTAAGACTGTAATATTTGGCTGTTTACTTGATTTGTACCCAAAGAGAAAGTTTACTTCCAAAGTGCTGAGAAAAAGTTTGGTTCATGACAGGGAACGTCAAGTAGGAAACGTCTGAGTGGATGAGCAACAGAAATATTTGAAGGCATGAACATTTTTCAAGATTATGTTTACCCACCCTGCCGATTTCAATACTTAGTTCCCAGTCTTGGTTAGTACCTGTGTCCCTGCTTGTGCAGATTTACTTTGGCCTCACAATCCTAATGTGGTTTTGGTGTAAAGCATAAATCAAAGTGTGTTCCTGATTCTGGTTGGTCCCTGTGAACTAGGCACTGTGCAAGATTTGTTTGCTACAGGAAGAGCCCCATGTTGGGAGTTTAGGAATCTGTGCGGACTCGTAATTCTGAAGAGAAGATGCTGCATTTAGCTTATACCGTGCTGTCAGTTAGCCATTATAATTTGTCTAACTGAATGGTAATGTTTTGCTATCTAGATTAATCACCTAGTTTCGGTAATCAATAACAATTTCTCACTCAGGACCAATACATGCAGCGAAGATATATAATATTATACAGACTGGAGACAGGAAAGCGATTCGGCAAGGTTTTGTCTAGTGAGCACTTACCAGTTATGCACTCTGTCACGTTTCTGGATCTTCAGCACCGTTTGCGTTGTACCTTCAAGTCTACCTTAGGAGAGCTGAACAAGCGGTTACGTCATCCAGACCAAAGAGCAACAAAGCAGGTCACACTGGCCTGTCAAACTCCCACTCACTGCCATCGCAGTACAATGCTTCTCATCCTCTGGTATCTTCAGTCCATAAGGATTTGTGACAGCATTTCAGTTTTCAGTCTGTCTCAGTCCCTTTTTAGTTTACTTAACGTGTAGTCTGCTCTCCTCGACCGTGATAAGTGTGTTTATGACGGCTTGGGCAGCTAGATTTTAACACTTTAATAAGCTGGTTATTGCCAAATGTTTTCTGTTACATACAGCATTCATGAATATTCATGCCTTCTAAGGTTGACTGATGTGAACCATGTTTTGGTTATAATGCGAGCGTATGAAGTCTCAGAAGCGATCGTGTATACATTTTTACACATGACCTCAAGTGCCCTGGAGTCAGTCCGCATTCTTCGAGATGCCCTGTCACGTCCAGTTAAATGTACGTGAAATGTGTAAATGGGTCCAGTTGAGAGATAATGTGTAACATATGTTTTCCAGTTTTGCTGGGAGTCCAAAGCTCAAATATGCTTCTTTCCATTTGAGTGGAAGTGGATTGAATCACTCCCACCACCCCCNAGCCCCTCAGTGAAATTCCTACCCCCGACACGTTGACCTTTTTACTACATGAGAAATTTAAACCAAGACATAAAGTTCTAGATTGCTGCTGGTCACTTTGTAAGCTTTATAATTACCAATATGTAAATGATGTACAAATGGTAGCTATTTTTTCAGTTTGATTATTAAGTTAATATTTACCTTGTTAGAAGGATTAGTAATGGAGAGAAAATGACCTGAAATAAATTACATGCTTTTCGTGGTATCGGTTGCGGTACCTTCATATTGTTCTCTGTAACAAATGATATTCAGTATTGTACAAATGTTCCACACGGCCTGTGCCGGATTTATAAAATATGATCTTGTTTCTGGCTTATTTTCTATCCAACATAAAATTCCAGAAAGCTGAAAACCTCACAAGTGGCGAAGTAGGTCAAAAGGAAAAATATTGTTAAGATCTCACTTTGATAATAAATCGCACAAAACTGGAACTTGCGTCTTTGTCTTCCTTCTTTTGGTTTGCAATACTACGCTGATGAATGACCCGGCACCGTCGTGCGTACACTGCTGAATAATTTAGCATAGTGCACATTCAGTAGTTTATTTCTGTTTCACATAGCTGTTTAATTACCGACGCGATCAAGCTTCGTGCGAGCGCCCAGCTCGACGCTTCAGCACAATAAAGCGATTTTTGTGCTGTTCGTTTCTGCTGCCTCCAGTATTTAATTCAGGCAGTTATAAACCTCTCACCGCAGAGGGACCGCGCATAAGTGTGTTTTCCATCACCCAACTTGTAGACAAGCAAAAAACACCTGGGAAGCGGCGAAGATCTCTAGCTGGAACCAAGGTGAGCTTAACCAAAGCTGCGATCGTATATTTTCTTCGTGACTGTTTAGCATACGTTTGCATTTTACAGACCTCTAAATTGTATTTTTATGTGTGCAACTGAATTGTATAAATGTACCGTAAAGGTACATGCCTTTAACAATTTATACCTTTGAACGAAAACTTAAGATTTATTGTTCGGATACAACTGTACGACAATGTACTGTAAGTCAGTCCAGTGTTGTGAGGGGAAATCTTCATTCATTCCATTGTGTTACATCGTCGATCAAAATGCCATATGTCATTGATAGTAACTAAGACACATAATAGACGACTAAACAGCTTTAAAATTATTATTATTATTATTATTATTATTATTATTATTATTACATTGAATAAAGAGTAATACGAAAAAAAATACTTTTCAGTGTTGGGTTCCTTTTATGAATGTAACTCCGACAGGAATTCAGCTAAATCACCGGTTCTGATTTAGTATTGTACTGAGACCTTCTTTTTTTGCAATAGAAATGTTATAACTTACATGAATGTCTCAAGTCGTTTCAGTTACTGGGTTTTTTGCACTACTATTCCAGCAAAATACCAACTTACCCGCATGCCCACGGTGCGCCAGATGTAAGTTTTAAAGCGGTTACGAAAACGTGATAAAAATTATTGTCGAAATAGAGAACGAGTTTTTGCAATGTCGAATTTTGCATGTGACCTTCAGTGTATCCATGGTAATAAAATATATGTATTACTGCCGATTTTTTTGTAAAGTGTAACAGCACTCCAGACTTCATTAGCATGCACACCAAGTGCAGAAGCGAGGCTCCCCATCCAGCCGGCACGAAGGCTTCACTCCCAGTCCGACTGACAGCCTTGGCTTTAACATCTGCGGCATTACCTCGGGTTGGCCGTCGGGGGGCGCAGTCACACAGACAGTGACAGAAAGAAAACTCAAGCGCCTTCGACTTTGAAGGAACAAGCGCGGACAGTTGTAACAGCTGTCCGCGATACGTCGTCATTATATTGCATTTCAGGAATGTGAAAGTGGGTAAGATTAAGCGCCGATGACATTTAGTTGCGGTGCAAACAGACTGAACGGAGGGTAGATGGTACGCAGCGCACGGAGAGGAGAAAAGGTGAGATAGTTACTGTGAGTTTCAGCGCAGCTAGGCATTGCGTTCTGCCGTCCTGTTGTCAATTAAAATGTAGCTTTGTATTAGTGACAAATGCAGAATCTATCAATGCATTTTGGGACAGAAGTAATCGGTTTTAACAACTGAAGCTAGCTAAACGTTGACAATTACATTCTTACTGGAGTGCGGCACAAATTATGGAATTATGCAGTGTACATATGATGTAGCTTGCTAGCTATGTATCACAACGTGCTAAAACCTAAAACTGAAATGCGTAATTAAAATTGTATATGCGACGGGAAAATGCTAAATACTGCGATATTTATATTTACTTCCAGGATGTACCGTAGGGAGACCGTTTTTGTGCTGACAGATGTACGGGCGCATGAAACTCAGCTGCACTCCGTCATATTGTGGATATACTGCGCACACGAGGTTAAATAAACCAGTAGCTGTAGTAAAATAAAACGTTCGTTTCCTCTAGCCATAAAACACGTTTTTAGGATCGAACCGGACGGTGGAGTAGGCATGTCGGTTATCGCTGAGGCGCCGCTTTTGACACAAAGGAAGCTCACGGCCAGCTTTAATTGGACCGAAAACGGCGAATGTAAAGCAAGTTTAAAAAAATCCTTTTGCTGGACCCCTCCGCGACGCGTGCAGCGGGAAGGGATTAGACGGGTTATGACAGGGGGGGGCAGCTTATGAGTTGCCACGGTCGGTCCCCGGTCTCTCCACCCCCCACCCTCGTTCACATTTTGACTCCGTTCGTCCGGAGGTGGAAAGATCCAGAGCCGGAGCGCGAGACGCCGCGGGGGGTAGTGTCTGACTCTCTAGCGGAGTGCAGCGCGAGGCGCACGTGAAGCGAAGCCGGAGCGGGACTCTGCGCGTGGGGGACCGTCGAGGTGATTGGCGTGACCGGCCGGCGCGTGGCGGCCGCCCGACTTTCCGGAACGGCCGGCCGACAGTTTTCGGGAGGCTTCTTGGGATAACCCGGGCTGGCAGTTAAGGCGCCCTGGGTCCAGTGTGCCCTCCCGGGTGTGTATTCCTCTACTCCGGTATTCTGCGTGGAAAAAGTAAAATGTGTGTCAGGGCTCCATCCCCAGCACGGATTTGCTACATTTTGCCGGTTTTTTTAGAGACACGAGGGGCTAGAAAAGAAAACCGTTGTTATTGGGTCAGGTTATGCAAAAGTGCGCGTGTGGCGCCAGAAGCGGAGTTCGCTTCGGACCCCGGACACCTGGCGCGCCTTCCCTCCCCGCGCCTCATTTACCGGACTGTACTAATGTGTTTTTATACGTAATCGTTGCCACAAAATACCTGAAGTGTTCTTTTCTGGGGGGATACGTGTACACAATTATAAAAAAACGAATTCAGATATTCTAGATTAATTTCATCATAATCTTGCCTGGTTGAGTTATAATCTACTATTTAAATAACTTTAAAAGCGCGCATCTTAATATCATGTATAATTTTGTAACCATTTATTGTTATTAGTCGTGGTTGCGCTTGACATTACTGTGAATTGCTATGTTGTGATATAAATATAAATATGATCATTTTAAGGAATATACCAAAAGTCTATCTTAATCAAAACAGTAAATTACTAATGCAGTAGATGTTTGAATGCATAAAATGTTTAACTGTGATGATTTGATCTGAAGCTTTTACACAGTATTAAGCAATTGACCTAGTCATTTATATGCTTTTTAATGGAAAATAATTTTACTGATTATAGGGTAAATGAAAATGCTGTTACATTCAACAGCACATGCATTAATGCCCATGAACTCAGATAATTGTTTTTTTTTTGGGGGGGGGGTGAGGGAAGGGGACTTCAATTTCATGTGGCAGGTGACAGTCTATGTGACATATACCTCATGAAAAATAGCTTGTGCCCCACGGTTGCATGTAGATGGGGAGCTCACGTGTAAGCGCAGCACCGGACCATGGGTGTGATAATTGGGCTGAACTCTGAATCAGAAACATATGACGGGAAAGAAAGGGGTTATTGTCTAGAAATCAGTTTGGCCCTGAAAAGCATGTTGTTACCAGAAGGAGAGGAGAGTTTTTTTTGTGCTCCAGCTTAAGTTGAACTAGAGGTGGAGTGAAAGCCTCTGATTCAGACTGATGTCTGACTTGAAGGGAGTGAGAATGCATGTAGGAACCTGTGAAGAGCAGCGTTAGCATGTTCTTCAGGGTGCTTTTGTTTGTTGATAAATGTAAAGTCCGAGTATTGCCTTCAAAGTGTGTTTTTCCTGTAGCGTAGCTTGGTGTCAGCAGGTCAATTTTTCCTTAAAACCCATGAGTTTCAAATCAGATGAAGGTACTGATTCTGCAGGTGGCCATTCATCTGGATGGGATAAAAGAGTCTTGGAAGCTGCAGGAGCGATTAGTAGATAACCTCAGTTCATATGGTATTGCAGCTTGGACCATTCCAAAATCTTTTGTCAAATCCAGATATGGACAAATACTCAGACACTGTCAGTTAAATGTCATATCAAACTGCAATTTAGATTAGGCAAAAGTAGAATTCCATGGTTGGAATGAAGTATGATTTAATAGCATATGTTTTTTAAAGTTGATTAAAGATTGGTGGGGACAAAACAGGCTTTTCCTCCTGAAGCACATGCTTCACATTATCAGCGCGCCCGTGAGAGAATATGTAAATATAAAAACAAACAGCAGTTATTTTTAAGCCAGTGTTTTATTAAACATTTAAATCAATATTTGTCCCACTTGATCAAATAGACATTTTCATTTATATAAAAAATTTGCATTGAAATTAACACTTCCTATTACACATTTTGTAATCATTCAGCGGTCTTTAGTTTAGAAAAAATAGGGTCTCCCTTTAAGTATGCTAAATATTCTTCAAGCCTCTGCATATCTGGGCTTCTGACTCGGAAGTGTCTAATTACATCTACTCTGTTGGGGGGGGGGTTGAACAAGTGTTCACGATCTTATGTGGCTGTTTATGACTGTTGACCTGATGACATCACAGCCCTGTATGCACAGTGCATTGCCAGACTGTATGTGACTCTTCGGACTAAAGTAATTTAACACAAAGGAACCTGCTGTGGGGAGTGTGTCTGCATGTGCCCACTGCATCCACAGTGAGCAGGAAGGTGTTAATTATGGGCTGGGTATTGTATTTGTTCTGCTGTTGTATTATGTTTTTTTCTTTTTCACCTTAGTCCAGATCTCATGTCTGTGTCACTGTCCTGGTATCCAGGCTGTCGTCATGCCAGGCATCATTTAAATAAGAGGCTATGCAGTGCTGAGATTTGTGGTTCATCTCTACAGTGACACTCGTAACTGTAATGGATGTAGTCAGGATTTGTTCAGGATTTGCTGCCGAATCGTGTCGCTCTTCGGTACACAATCTTTTCCTCGACTCCGAAGTATTCATCAAGTCACTGAGTCGGAAAGATTCCTAATGAGCTCCCAGAGCTGAGAGTGTGTGAGCATGTATCCGCATCCCCCCCCTTGTGTGATTATCTTCCTAAATGTTGTTAAATGAAATCGCTGCTACATAAACAGATCCTCTCAGCTGTAATGCTCTTTTTTGCTTCCATATGCTTCCAGGTTTGTGACAAGGAAAGGTGCCCCGGGGACGTTGCTGAGAGACATGCTCATTGCGTGCACTAGCAGGGAGGGTGTCAGGGGGATCTGCCACTAAGCACACAGGAGGACCCCGCCTCCTGCGGCGGCACGCGGAGAGCGAAGGCTTGTTGTCTCACCCCTGTGCCTGGCAGCCCCGCCGATTCCACGTCACCCCATCCTACAGTAGCCATGGCCTTCACCCTGTCAGAGATCATGGCGGCGCGCCGGCAGCAGCGCGGCTCCAGGACGGCGGTGGATGTGGACGAGTACAGCGCCAACCCCACGCAAGCCTTCACCTTCTACAACATCAACCAGGGGCGCTTCCAGCCTCCCCACGTCCACATGTAAGTCCTTGCTCTGCTGGGCTCTAGAAATACCCTGGTTCTTCCCTTCCTCTCACTGCGAGACCTCTTTGCTAGCCATGTCACATTTCTGCAGATGACAGCCTTGTTGCATCCTTCCTACCCCCATCTGTGTGTTTGAGCCACAATTCCTGTGTGCGGGCCCCTCCCTCACTCTCTGTGCCTCTGTTTTCCTAGCTGTCCCGCTGCTCCCAACTGGACGGCCTGCTAACACAGGTTGAGCCCGCTGGTGCTAAAATGGGCCAGGCTTATTAAGAACTGTCCCATTCCCTTGAGCCGGCCACAGCCATTTAGGATTGGCAACTTCCCCCCGAGACACGTTTAAAATTGAAAGTCCAGACACAAGTGGACAGTGTGTGATAGCATTAGGGACAATGGTTGTTAATAATAGCAACATCAGCAACAAGTGCAAGTAGCAGTGAATGGTGCTTATGTATGGTGCTCTCTGTCCTGCTTTTGGCAATACTCTTAAAGGGTGAGACTATTTGCATTCCTTTTTTTTGTACTGTTCATCTTAAGGAGGTCTATGTCTACCAGTAGACGATTATGAACTAGTGTATGTTTGCTGTGCAGCCTTGCTGGCTGCTGGTTTTGGCTTGCATTCCTGCATTTAAATTTGTATCCTGGAGTTTCGAGTCATTACAATGAACTCGAAGTATAATAAATACAAGGAATGAGCGGATTACTTTACAGGAAAGGGGGGTTATTAAAAAATGCAACCATGTGCATAGTTTTCTTGAACGCTGTATGAAGAAATTTCTGAGGTTCACTTTCATTTGATTAATCTACAAGTGTGTTTCACATGTTTGGTATTTGGGTCACATGGACTTTTATCTTATTGAATAATATAGGAAAAGATAACATTGGTCTGTTCCTCCGCTTCATGGATCCCAGTTCTGACTTGTGCTTTATATGCAGATTTGCCGCTGTTTTTTCCCTGGGTAAGCAGGAGCTTTTAGCACAAGTTGGCTGGCGAGTTGATCAGGAGCTTTTAGCACAAGTTGGCTGGCGAGTTGATCTTGATTGAGTATGGAGGTCTTGAATCAGTGCTGGAGGCCGACCTGTGGCCAGAGAGCTCTTGTTTGCAGCTGCGGGATTCACCGCGTGCAGCGCAGAGGTCAGTGTGTGGGGGGCTTGTAACTGAGCGCCTCTATTGCTATGACCCAGTTTGCTGGCCTGCTCTGCTGTGAGCCGGCCTTGGCTCTCATCCATATGCCTCTCGGGCAGACCCGTCGAGGACTGGGGCCCGGCTTGGAGGAGCCTACATGGCGGTCCAGGCCTCAATGTGTCCATTGCTGCCCACAGGCAGCATCTGCCCTCAATGATGGTGATATATTTCTTAAAGTCATAATGCGTGGGTGTGCGTGCATGTGAATGAACGACAGAGATGCACGTCACAACGAAATAAAACATGGAAGAGTCGGATTGCTCCTGCAGTTCTGCAGCGGAATTTCGAACTCATTGGGATTGCCACCTGGAACGTTTACCTCGGCTTGTTGTTACGCAAGACCTTTGACGGAATGTGTCATTCGGTCTTGTATTGGAGGGGCTGGACTTTCAACATAGTTCTGATGCGATTTTTATGGTCAGTTTTCTGTTCTGGGCCCTGCAGGGAGGGGAGTCTGCAGCAGGGAATGAGGCAGTTTATGCATCACAGTTAGGAGGAAAAATGAAGCTGTTTCTCTCTCTGAGAATTACCAAGCATGTTTGCGGTGCCGTGTAACAGGTGGATGCCTGCTTTACCTGTGGGACGTTTTTTGGTCGTCGCACTTTCCTGTGGACTCAGCTCTTTGCTCTGTGTGTCCCCCCCCCCTCACTGCAGGGTGGAGCCCCTGCCACACGACACGCCAAAGCCGCCCGGCTACACGCGCTTCGTCTGTGTGTCTGACACCCACTCGCGTACTGACGGCATGCAGATGCCCTACGGCGACGTGCTCGTCCACGCCGGTGACTTCACTGAGCTCGGCCTGCCCAGCGAGGTCAAGAAGTTCAACGACTGGCTAGGTAAGAGGGCAGCCCCGTTTGCCGTAACCTCGCCTCATCACCCCGACGATGACCAGCCTTCTCAGAACTAGCCTGAAATACCAGTCACGTGTTGGAATCACCGCGCAATACATTTACCTAATCGGCCTTTTATTTATTATATGCTGTATATATTTTTAATATTTTTGGTATTTTGTCATTTAACATTAACTACCTTCCGTCCACCTTTCCACCTCTTACTCTGGAGTCATGGGGGGGACAATACAATTACAGGAACAGGAGAAAAATCAGACAGCGTAAGGACACTAGGGGGGAAAGAAATATTAACGATATTATTAATAATATTATTAATCTTCTTAATAATAATAATAATAATAATAATACATACACCTCACATATACACAGTTCTGTGTATAAAAATAAAGGTCAAAACAGACATCAAATAAATTAGCAAATGATTAAATGGCAACACAAGTCAAATAACCACAACCCCTGTCTTGACACATATTAACATTTGTCTTGCAAACTCATTTTTTTTAAATCTAGAGATATAAAAAAAAAACAGTGTAATTATTTATTACAAATTATATGCATGGGAGCAAATATAATAATTAACAAATTACTTTCAAGAAAAGGAAAAAACAAAATATACACACATACACACACACACACACACACACACACACACACACACACACACACACACACACTGGGGGAAGGGGGGGGGATGCATTCTCTGTTGTGCTATCCAGCCAATGTTGTCTATATGTGAATGAATTCCATTGTGTAAAAATGTGTGTTTTGTTTGTGGTTAAATAATTCTATTGTGAATCGAGTATTATTAAGAAGGAATTCCAGATTTATGTTTTTCTTTTATGATGTTTGTTTTTCAAGTAAACTATATTCCAAAGGAAGATTCGTCCATTGTTAGGTGCTTAAGTTTTTAGATTTTCCAGTTCATTAGGACAGATTTCTTGGTGATAGTTAAAGAGATTAATAAAGGATTTTTTAATTTTCTGTGGATAACAATATGTGTTATATCACCAAGTAAGCACAGAGATGGAGGTAATGGCATCCTACAGCTCAGTATAGATGATGGCATCAGAGTTACTGCTGTCCAGAGTGTGTCAACTGGTTGGCAAGTCCACATAGCATGGAAGTAATCACCTATATTAATACAGGAGCTTTGGGAACATACGTCTGTGTCGGCAAGGCCCATTTTGAACATTTTCTAAGGGGTGATATAAATTACTTGATACTGAATTAATTGAAGGTTTGTATTGGTGGTAGAAAAACAATGTTTTTAAATGTTTGTGTCCAGAAGTCAGTATCAGTAGGGATTCCTAAATCGTTCTCCTATTTTGTTACTGGTACTGTTAAATTGTCTGAGCTTGCCAAAAGTCTATAAAGTTTAGCGGTCAGTTAATTATGTAAATTAAGAATTTCGCTAGCTAATTTTGAAGGGTGAAGAGGATTTTTTATATATATATATATATATATATATATATATATATACATACACACACACACACACACACACATAAATCTTACATTTAATAATTGCTTTTAATTGTTCATAGCGAAGATATTGATGAGTTTTTAATTCATATTTCTGGGTTATGTCTGAAAAGGTTAAGAAACGGTTATCGCTGAAAAGGTGGTGAAGAAGATGGGTATTTCCTTTTTCATGCCATATAGAGACATATAGAGTGGTGTTACCTGCAATTAAATTGTTTAATAGTTTTATTTTAAAATTATATATCTAAAACTGAGATATTCTGAAATTCATGTTGTTCAAGTCCACGAGTTATTAGAGAATTGCTGTTAAATGTATTTAATTATCTAATGTAACAGACTAGTTATAAAATAAGATAAAAAATTGGTGCTTCTAAACCACCATGAGATGTTCTCTTCTGTAGTGCTGACAGTTTGATTTTCTGTTTTTCTAGTAAAACTTTGTGACAAAGCTGTCGAGAGATTTGGACCATTAATCAGGAGGAGAAACACAGAGCATTAAAAAGAGAGAAATTATATGGGGCAAAACATTCAATTCTGTAGTAGCAGTTTGACCTATGAGGTTTAGAGGGAGATCAATCCACCGGTGAATATCATCTTAGTTTGTTTTTAGTAGCGGTTTGTAGTTGAGGTCAAACAGCTCCGATAACCTCAGGGAAACATTAATACCTATGAACTTAATATTTCCACTATGAAATGGGAACGAGGACTCAGTGTTTGGGATCCTACAGCTCTTATCAACATAATGGAAGTATAGTTGATTTGCACCAGTTAATTGTACTTGAGTTAGTCTAGTGAAGTTACTGATTACAGTCAAAGTTTACGAGTTCATTGGATTCCTGTGATTTGATCATTCTGTCTTATGGCTGCTGCGAGAGGTTCAATAAAGATGGTGAACGTGGACATTCTTGTCCGATTCCCTGGTAAAGGGTATAACTTTTTAAGCTTTGGGTGAAGTGTATAATATTTTAATCCAATAAATTAACCTAAAGCCAAATTTTCGTAATGTGCTAAATAAAAATAGCCAGTTAACTTTGTCAGATGCTTTTTCAGCATCTAGTGATAGGATTAAAATCTTGGAAAGTTACTGCTGTGAAAGGCTGATTAGATTAAATAGTCTTCTCATATTATCAGTTGAGTGTCTATTCTGTATGAATCTATGGGGTTACTGTTTCCATTCTAATGGCCAGAGCTTAGCGAAAGAGGGCGATAGCTAAAGAGGTTAGTGGGATCTTTGTTGGGTTCTAGAATTTATGATATACCTACTGTATTCATGTATGTGGGAATTAATGAAGTATTCTTAATAACAGTAAAAGAATAACCCAGAAATGTTTATAGAACTCCGGAGGAAACTCATCAGGGCTGGGTGATTTGTTATTTGTCATCTGATAAAGAGCGTTTTCAAGTTCATCTGGAATAAATGGAGAATCGATTGTATCTGATAATTCTTGGGGTAATGAAGGTAAATCTATTTTCTCTAGAAAGATTCTATTTCTGATAGATTGGTATTAAAACCAGGGATGTAGAGCTTATTATACAAATTTCTAAAAACACTATTGATTTCAGATGGATTTTGAGTTATTTTACCTGCTGAATCAAGTTATTGATGTAATTCCTCCCTAATTACCTTCTCTAATTGAGTGCCAGATAGCTTTACTTATTTTGTTACTATATTCAAATTGATCATACTTAAGTTGTTTTTTTAAAAATTGGATTAATTTAAGTGATATTTCTTCTAATTGTGTTTTGATATTTAATTTAAGATTTCTTCTTGGATTGTCCTGAGTATAAATCTGTTAGGGATTTAAGTTGCTGTTCTATGTTATTTTCTAAATTATGTTGCTGTTTTTTCTTGTATGATGATTATGAAGTGATATTCCCTCTGGCCGCTGTTTTGCCTGTTTCCCATAATACTGAAGCTGAGGATTCTGGAGAGTCATTTATTTCCATTCTTTTTTGATTAAGGTATTAAAGTCAGGATCCTCAAGTAATGGTGTATTAAAACGGGTTTTTAGGGGAGGGCTGCATATTAATATTCAAGGATACAGGGGCATGATTATAATCGGATGTATTGTAGTATGTAAAACTTTCAGACTAAGTGAATTACTAGTTGAGAAAAAAATCAATTTGAGAACTAGATTTATGTACAGAGGAAAAATAGGAATATTCTTTTGATTTCTCCAAGTATCGGCCAAGTCCATAATCAGTCATGTATTGTTTTATTATCTCAGTGCCAGATGACTGCCAAGTTTTAGTAAAATGTTCTGACGAGCAAATGACTTATTGGTGGGCGAGAGTTTGTCCCTAATCCCTTGTCGTGCTGCACCTGCATCGTTTATTCAATCAGTATATGCTTTGACCCACATAGGCCACTTGTTTTTTACTGGATCATCATGCTCCAGCCTTCAACAGATATGTCCCATTTACCGTACATCCTGCGCAGTGTGTGAGTTTAGCACAAACAGCTGAAGCTGAGGAAAGAGAAGGGGTGGTGGAAGAAGGTTTGCAAAGCTTTTTGAAGGTTTGTGACACAGTGATGTGGGTCGAACGAGGCAAACCCCTTTTTAAGTTCCTTCTACCCTCCACCACCTTAAAACCTAGCATTCCATAATGTTCTTCATAGTAATTTGTCACCAACTTTGTTCTGTTTGTCTGGTTTCTGATCAATTTATTGCGCTTGAGGATAGTTAATGGGTGACGTACACTGCTTGCTCGTGTGAGCGCACTCCCCTGCTCTGACCCGACCTGTGTGTGTTCCCTAAAGGACCTGACACAGAGGAACATAACTATATCGCAGGCTCTGCGACTCAGTGAATGTGCATTACTGGGGGAAATGAGCGGTTAGATTTCAGGCCTTGAAGGGGGGGCGGCTCGATGGCAGCCCAGCATTCTCATACCCCTGGGGGGTTTAGGACCATCCCTCGATTTCCTGCCGTCCTGCCTCTTACATTTATGCTTGTCCCCTCATAAATATGTAGATCACCGGATCCCTGGCCCTGTTGGAGGTTGGATGTCTTTCTTTGAACGAGTAATATGCTTTGCACAAGTAGGAG